ATGGAAATTTCGTTGATGTAATGAAACACTTTGTAGCGATAGTCGATTTGTTATCTTCAGCCTGTTCTGGAATTTCGACCGGCCTTGACACTTGCTTAACATTATTAGCTTCTAATTTAATAGTATCATGTTTTTTCAATCCAATAATGTCATTAGATTCGTTAAAATTAATTAATGGGGTAATCTTTTTTAATTCTTTTGAATTGCATAATGCAACTTTTTCAGGCTTATTTTCGATTTTGAAAGCATTCACGATCTCACTCGAATTTTTGTTATCACATGAATCTTTTACCGTTTCGGTCTTGATAGAAGCTATGCTTCTTTCGGCAGCTGACGACTGAATATCAACGGGAACTTTACCATTCAACGATGCGTCAGATTGTTTCTTTGCTATATATTTGGTGTTACACGGTGATGTGATCGTTTTTATATCAGAACTTGGCGAAGATGCTACAGTAGCTGTTGATGAAGTATTCTCCTTGGTGTAAAAAAGGATGTACGGTTTATCTCTAAGTGTGGTTTCTAATACAACCTGTAGTAAAAATAAATGAACCAATTCAATAAATCACCAACAAAAAAGTGAATAATCATATAACATCTAACTAATGATATCTTTCATACATTTGATGTCATACTATCATTAAATTTAACCCAGCCAGAAGCAGTTTTGGCATAAGCATAGTAATGACCACTTCGTGGTGTATTACCAACATGTACAATTGATGCAGAAAGTCTGTATCGTGCGTTTTCTTCCGGATGCTCACAAAACTCAGACATATCCAAAATTTCACTGTAACTCATATAAGTGTTAATTTTGACAGAACGTTGAGAGCATCGATCGTATCGAAAACGCTTCACCTGTATGATCAAAATTTCAGGCAAGCGAGTTAAATTGCATTTTTGTGTGCAAGTATTTTTACTACATCTAAACATAAATTAAATATAATTGTATTAGACTTATTATATATATATATTTATTTATTTATATTAAGAAAATAAATATTAAATTCTAAACATTACTTGTCACACTTATAATCATTAAGCGGATAAGGACCGGCCGAAATTCCAGAACAGGCTGAAGATAACAAATCGACTATCGCTACAAAGTGTTTCATTACATCAACGAAATTTCCAT